AGCTTCAGCTTACAACAAAGTAAACACACACTTGTGTATTGTTCCCAGAGGCATTTTATATGGATATCAAGATGATTTACATTTTTTAATTTTATGAAAGAAAACAAATATATGTATATGTTATGCAGATTTCAGGACGTGACTGCATTGTGTGACAGCCCCAATGGCAATTCCTGCATAGAATGACGCCATATTGGGATCAAAATTAGACTGCAGACAGTTGGCGAGATTCGCACGCCAAAGGCGTTTCATGGGAAATGCGAACTATTTCATGCGGGGGACTTTAGTCTCGAGAGACTGTCCCAATCTGCAGGTTTCTAGTTGATATGAATAATTCATAGTTGATGTTGACGTCACAAAATAAATTATATTAACTTAATGTATGCAAATTTATTCTAAATGACCCCCTGAATGCGTTGGTTGTTCACATTATGAACACATGTGGACTGAGAGCGTCGACTCTGCATAAAATTAAAAACATGGACGAGTTCAGGAAGAAATTGCAACAAACCAAGCGAGAGTTATTGGAAAGGTCGCAGGCATTTTCCTCTAAGAGAATGGTAACTGAAAGTGTCTCACTGGTATTCTTTGCAAGAAATATCATGATAGTCTAAATGTTTCAGCACTTCTATAATGCAATTGTCAAGATTTGTTTGTGTCATGATATCAAAATCTGCTGTGGAAAGTGTCGCGATCGCGCACAGTGCAGTCAAAACCATGGAGGTAAAACACACTTCGCGTAAGTCGTGGGCGTTCCTAGTAGCCAGCAACCTCTGACCCTTTTCACGATTGGCCACGATAAAATGATAGACATCTGTGCAACTATTCATTTGCATATAAAAATTGCAGCACAGGACAGTCAGTCGTGCCCAACGGCACTCCATACTTCCTGTCCCGGCGTTCGCAATTTATTCACGCCTATTACGCTTATACACAATATTTATTAATAATAACTGATTAATATTAGGTACGACAGATTGTCGACAGTCTAGATCAAAAATACATTAATAACAAATTCTCACTTAACAGGTTGTTGGAAATATATGCTCTGCAAATATGCACATATCGGATAGTCACAAAAGTTTCTCAAAATCATAGTTTCAGAATACCCAGCATGCATCCCAATGTATTTTAGCTACCATCAATGGGCCAGCTGATCACTGACAAACAACGTGCGACAATTTTGGTTGTCAGGGATAACAGTACGCTATACATTGAAATACAAACCACATACCGGTAAAAACATCCATCAACAAATGTAAATAATAACTGGAAAAATATGAGACATCTGATTGCTCTCTAAACTCTGGCAGTAACAGATTGATAAGGTACAGAAATGGATGGCAAAGTTGTACAGTAAATATATTCAGATTCGATACTGACCTGCATAGAATGACGCCATATTTGGATGAAGCATGTACAGGGTTCACCACTCGAGGGCGCTTCCCCAATATGTGGTCATATCAAATGCATTGAGTCAGATACTTTGTAAAGAGTCAACATTAATTAAATTTTGTCCGTCAGTCCGGAGTCGTATTTCAGAATCCTCTTGACAGATTCCGTTTAAAAAAGAGCAAGATTGCTACATAAAAAATAAATAACGAATAAAGAAGAAATAATTATATATATAAATATTTTGTTAAGTTGCCCAGGTAACAAGGATGCCTAAAATATAGAACAAAGCTGGTGTCGGGAAATATCTTTGTAAAACAATATATTTCTGTGTACTAGAAGCGAATCGACATCAAATTAAAGCAGCGTAAACAGGATACATTTTTAGCTCCGCTGTCGACCAGAGCTTATATGAGTGATTGCCCATAGACGTTCGCCACAACTTTTGACTTCTTCTTTAAAACTGCAATTTTTATTGCCTAAATACTTGGTGTATATGTACCTTGGGCAGACCTCTCTTAGATTTGTTGATTTCATGATGATATATTTAATTCTCTAATTTTTCAGTAAAAAGTGATATTTTCCACTTGTTTCTAAATTTTGAATAATGAATGTACATGTAACTTTGTCAACTCGGACCCCCTATCAAATTACCATCATTAATATTTTTTTAATGACTTGTTATTGACGGCCTATGGTTGTCACGTCACACATGTACAAGGTTTGGGTTCTATGTAAACAAAGCTTTCGATTTGTTACACACGTCAATGAGCAAAAAAAAATTCGATAAGCTTAGTGTAGCTAAAATGGCCGACTTGAAGAAAAGAAGCACTTCTAGAAGAGCTCCTCACCTCCTGTGTTGTCATGCCAAAGTCAACTCAGTCTTGCGGAATTTCCACCGGGTTGTAACCCCCCAAGATTGCATTCATGTTGCCGAGGCTGAACGCTGAGTTTGATGGATGGATGTGAGGAGCCGAGGTTTTTCGGTGGCCCCCCTGACCGGGGCATCCTTGCAGTCTGCTGTTGCAGGTGGAGGTCTGCTCGATCATGTCAGCAGCGGCAAGGCTCTGCCCTGGAGCCTATTGCTTCTATGAGGCCTGTTGCAGGTCCCTCTGTGGATCCTTCCTCGTCAACTACCTGTCAGGAAAAATGTCGTTCTTTGCAGGCCGGGTAGACAAGCTGCAGATGGAGCGGGTTGCCTTCACTGCAGATGCCTCTTGGTCGGCGAATGGGAAAAAGCACACCAGGAAGTGACATTTGCATTCAAAGGATGCTTCTTTACAAGATCGTCTCCCCACTGATTGAGTCTGGCAGTCAGGCCTCCGATAATGATGAGGACAGGGCAGGATGTTTGTTTTGTCTCTTCCCCGCTTCTTGCCAGCCATTGATCATCAGTCAGAGCCAGTACCTCTAAGGGTCTCTCCCTTTTTGAGGTCCCACTGGCATTCCCAGAGGGGACTGTCTCGGTTATCATAAGTTTGATCGGACACGTCCTTGCTCACTTTCTTAATGTGAAGGGACCCCAGGTGGGTTCGACGATGTCTGATTCCTTGGGTGCAACTTTGGTCAGCCCTTTGGAGCCTGTTCTCTAAAACGACTCTGTGAGCCACGCTGTGGGGGTGATGTGGGAATTCGTTGGTCCTAGTGACCCAATGTTCATACCCTCACCCTGGATCCTGAAGCAGTTGCTCTTGGTAGTGGCAAAGCAAAAACGCACAAGACCAGCAGAGTCTGGAGCCAAAAAATTCCACCCGATGGAATCCCACAGTTTCTTCCCCCAACCCAGGTACCACACATTTTTGTTCGACATGTAAACATGTAAAAGAGGATGTTCTCAGTCCATGGAGTTTCTCGACATCTTAGTCAGAAACAGTCCACAATGCCATGAGAGCAGATTTGCGACCTAATAACTTTATGTGGTCAGCACACTGGAACTAATACGGTGTGTCTTCGGGACTTTGAAATCTCTGAGGTGGAACGCACCAACCTCCTAGACCAGCAAGCACATTTGTTGGCTGGACATCAAATGGCTATGTGTGATATTCTGCAGTGTCATGTCATATCCTGCTGCTTCTGTTTTCTGTCACTGCCTCAGTTACACAGACTGGACCTTCTCCAGCCTCTTTGATGGGGAGATGGAGGGTGCAGTCTCGGAGCTTCGGGAGGCTACTGACCAGATGGTACAGGTGGAATCCGCAGGACAGTTGGCTGCTGCCAAGCAGACGGGACCCCATGCCGAGAAAATGCAACTGCCGAAGTCGGCACCCATTGGCCAGAAGCAGCCAGTCACAACTTTTGGACTCTTACGAACCATGAGGGGACTTGCCTCGGCTGAGGAGAGTTTAACCCCAATATAGAACCACCGAACCTGTGGCCACACATCCCTATCACACAGATTGTTCTGGTGTATTCTGGCTTGGAAGCAGCTGGTAACTAAACCCTGGACACTCCAGGTGGTATGCATGGTTACAAAATTCCACTGCCCCATTGGGGGTGCTGCTGGGGGATCCCCTTAAGTGGAGGCAATCCGACAGGAGGTAGACAGTTTGCTTACAAATGACGCCATACACAGGGTAGAAGACCCGGTGGCAAGTCCGGGCTTCTACTCACACGTGTTCCAAAAGGTACAGGTGGCCAGCGTCCAGCATTCTGGATCTAAGCAAGCTAAATCAGTATGTGCTCCTAGATCAGTCCCGTATTGAGACGCCAAGCACTGTTTTACTACCCGTGCACCGTTTTGATTGGTTAGCCTTCCTAGACTTGAGCGATGCTTACCGGCACATAATGTTGCGCCTTTCGAGTCATTTACTCCTTCGATTCACCCATTCGGCATTAAACGTATTTAAATTTGGGGTGCTCCCATTTGGGTTATGCACTGCTCCATACGTGTTCACCAGCATGTTGAAAAAGGTGGTGCTGCTGCTGCATCAACCCGTAACTAGACGACAGATTGCTACACAACCAAAACAATGGGTTGTTGACGAGCAGTGAGCTAATGCACTCTTTTAGGACAAGACTAGCCGATTCTCCTATTATTATGAGACTGTTTACTTCTTTTCACTAGACTCCAATCTAGGAAACCACCCAATTGGGGTTTGTAGGTTGTGAACCACTGGAATTATTATCGTTGAAATATTTGACATTGAAAACAGTCTAGCTCTAGCCTCTCGTATGTGTGGCTCTGACTTTGGGGCCTTGTCCTTCTCGGACGGTTGTGTCACCCTTATGGACAATCAAGCTGTGCTGAACACACAAATCAGGTTTCTCGCCTAGAACCAAATCCCAGGGCATGATCCATTGCCGATCGTCATCCCCGTTTGGCCAATATTGTCATCCCAGAGGATCAGACACTGGCAAGGTAAGACATCGTTTTTCACTGGTGTTAGCTAAGTGGTAGTTATAAGTAATATTTGTCCCAGGATTGGACACCCTTCATTTCAAGTACTCCTTTATTTTCTGTTTTGCTCGGAAACCCGACACCTCTCGATGTCTGACTCTGCCTACAGTTCAAAATAGTCATTTTGACTGAGTCCACGGTGGGTAATTGAACGTAGTGAGTTTAGGCAGAGGATTTTCAACCCGCCTATTAACCTAGTTCATATCCACCATAGACCATAAGTTCCTCCCAACCACTCCACTTTCCGTAGCGATTGGGTATGAAATTTGTTAATAGGCGAGTTGAAAACCCTCTGTTAAATCGCACACATACACCAACAGTTCAAAATCCAATAAAACTGCCTTGGACATCTGTCAATATTCATACATGTTTACTGTCAAATACCCCAGATATACCTACTAGTATTCTAAAATATGTAACGAGTTTGTATGACAGTGAAGTTCTTTGGTTTGTCTTTACTTGCTATTTACTAAATTCATAATAAGTAGATAAATACTGGAATTCTAGCCATTTTGTACATTTGTTATGGTACATCCCTTGATTCCCAAGCTGTTTTGAATAACAAGAGAAATACATTTCGCAAATTCAGTTCTCCCTTCCCTCCGCACTGAGCATCACGGACATTTGGTCTCTGCATAAAATTCTAGTCTTTTATCGTGCACCATCAGTAGATGACTTCAAAGCTGAGTGGTTCTGTTATTTTCTGTAGCTGCGATTCCAGTTCTGCATTCCATTTGGCAACAAATATTGTGTACTAGTGAAGGCAAAGGTTTTACTTGCTTGGGAACAATCACATATCAAGATCTACTGCCTCTGATTCTGAGGCCGATTTACCTAGGAAAGCTCTATTACATTGATGTAAGCAAACACTAAGAAAATCTACGTCTACTCTTTGTACTTGTGTATCGTGTCATCTGCATCTTTGCAAAGTTGATCTGCACGAGTGTATTTTTTTGCTGAAAGATTTGCATTGGGATTCAGATAGTTGATGGTGAATGCCGCCAAAGAGCTACATTGACTGCAGAAAAATGGTCCAAATGTCTGTTTACCTGTGTTGGATCTTGTAAAGCCAGGTTGTATGGTTGATTGATACAGTGGCTTTACCCAACGTGAATTAGGGTACTTGGGGGTTGTGATTGGCCTTTACCCAACGTGAATTGGGGTACCTGGGGTTGTGATACATGTATCTCCACCCACCACAGTAAGAGCCGAATGTGTTGGTCTACCTAAATCGAAATGTACCTGCACGAAGTAGGTATAGGTGATCAATGACTGCTCCACCTAATTCCCCTATTGACTATGATATGTTTGTTTACACGGAGAAGTGCAGCTGCCAAGTAAGTGCTAAGTTTTTTTCATGCCTTGTTATATCTATTACAAAAAGGTGGCGATAAAACAAAAGAAGTAAATTTCTGAGATGAAACTCGCCCAAACAGATCTGCTTATGACTTCATGACACCCACAAAAAAACAGCTACTAATTCGTCTAAAAACTAGCTAATTTATAAATCAAATGCTCACAAATGAATTTGTGCATAACTCCAAGGTACCAATATTTAGCAAATAAAATCCGTTATGAAGATTTTGCTTTCAAAGGGTGAAATGAGACAATAGGCAGATTAGCTACGTATTGTACATAGACATGGCTCTATAACTTAACATTACTCTAAACTTGATAAAAATCCGCTCAGAAAAGTTTGAGATTTTGCTTACACGTAGAGACATAATGACAGAAGCATGAAGAATTAGGTATGAGGAAAATATTGGTCCATTGTTTATCAAAATTAATAGTGCGAAAACTGGTATGGCTAAATTCATTTCTGCATTTGCCATCCAATCCCCAATACACCAACTCCTGATTTCAACCCTCATTAACACATGTTTTAAATACCACACGAGACACATCCACTTAGTCCTCCACCCCCCCCCCCCCCCAAAGTGGCATTATAACAATCGCATATTCAAAACAGTCAGTAATGTTGTGTACTTGCTCATTGCCACCAACGTTCTCCAACCGTCATGAGTCAATAAGTCCGTCATATCTGAAAGAGTGACTGCACATGCAACCCTGCAACTATGTGGTGTTTCTTCATCATCTATGTTCAGCCCCTGGAAGTACATTGTGAAACTGGGGCATTACATGGGATGATAACTGCTACCAGTGAATGTGATCTGAATTATCGATATGCATTTCTGCAAGAATGTTAGGTATTGATAGCGCACAATCATCTCTTTCTGACACTTTATAAAGGTGATCATATAGGATCTAGCACGTACCTCTTGTAGTCAGAGGTACAGACTCAATTAGGACATATACCGGGAATATATTATTACATATAATAACACAAACATAAGCATACCCAAATGTTTCTATCTAAAAAATACAAATACGAGGCATGATTCATGCTTAGGTCCAGGGTCCAAAACCCGGACAAGTTCCTACTTGTTAAAACAATGCAACTATCATTTCTCTCTCTAGCTCGTTGGTCCAGGGGTACGATTTTTCGATTTGGATGCAAGAAGTCTCTGGTTCAAATTCCGCACGAACCCAATTTAATCAAATAAGGCACATTCGCTACGGCAGATTCGATTTTATCAAATTAAACATATTGGCTGGAGCAGATTTTCTTTTCTTAAATAATGCAATCCCATAATCCATTTCTATTGGCATGCCCGTAGACGAACGGACGACCCCCCCCCCCCGCTCGAAGGTCCGTTTTCTAAGAACACTATTTTTTAAAAGGCGAACTATTTTGTATCACCAGCACGACACTCAAACCAGTGACACTTGGCGGCCTGTGGATGACGTCGGCCAAGCACCGACACAGTTCTCTATGTGAGAGTGGGCAAGGGGGATAGCTGGTACAGGCTGCAGGAAATTAAAAAAGGCATTTTATGTTTTTACAAGAAATAAAATGAAAGTTCCATTTACAGTATATTAAAAATCAATATCACACATTGAATAATCCTTGGGTCAACGCGTTCTGATGTGACAAATATTCCGGGTGTGTGTGTGACGCACATGCGCGAATCAGGCCAGTAATTAATGTTGAACGTTAACGTGCGATACTATTTTCAGTGTGATATACTCCCCAGTGTTCTACTAAGAACAATGTTTACCGAGGGCACCTGCACAACGCATTAAATAAGGTGTAGATAATATTGCGTACTTGTCATTGTAAAAGTCAGAATATTTGGGAACATCGTGTTAACTTCGAACGTAAATGGTGCACTACTTTACCAAATAAGCATACAAATTAAATATGCATATGATCATGTATGTATAATCTGTACAGATACAGAAGATAAGGGAGGGATCTTTTGACAAGATATCAACTATTCTCAATTCTTAGCATTTATTTGTTCATGTTTAGTAAAAAAAATGATACGTGGTCATTCTTGAGATGTTTGTGGAATCATCAATAAAAGAGAAGTAGAAGAGGCAACTTTTTCATATTTTATTCTAGTAAAACAATAGAATAGTAAAAATACGACACGTATTATGTACAACGCTAGGCAAAATAATGTCAATCTTTCATAATCCTAAAGAAAATAACACATCTGGTGTTAGCATGTTGAACTTCACGTGCACTCGCCAAGATACGCACAGACAGAGGTGCTCGTAATATAGCTAGGTTGTTTTATTTTGTTTATAAATGAATTATTTGTATTTACTAATAATTTCTGCAATAGAACCTATGCTATCAGTATTTGAACATTCCGTGACTTCCGACAACAGATAATTTCAATAAGATAATTTTAATATGTATGAAATATACGGTGGGCGGGAGTCGGCCTCCGTTCGCCGCCTCGAAAATAGTTTCGAATACACACATGTTTTATATCTTATCAATTGAGTCCCTGCAGTTATATACATAGATTTAGATTTAATTACTGATTTTAAATATATTTAATAATATATTAGCGTATTTTTATGTATTTACATGTGGTTTTAACTCGCACGCTTATATATATTTACCAATAACTCGCACCTTACAAGTACGGCGTATTTACATTCATCTAATAACTCGCTGCGTTTTCAATTTAATTCAAATACACTGTACTTCTGACGTACGAGTTAGTGGCAAATGCTATGCTACCGGGCGACGCCCTCAGTGTCCACGCGCAGTCATGTCAACGCATGCAAAATATTAAGATTATTGGTTGAACAATTAACACTGCCGCTTATAAAAATAAGGGGTATAATAATCGGGGCATATGGTGACGATTGTAGTTACAATAAATACCTGGCTATGTTATATACTACTAGTGTCTTTGTGACTGAATCGTGCGTATAAGTGTCGAGCGAAGTTGCACTCGACAATAATTGTAAATTCCAACAAGAAATGATTATTCGTTATAATCGTCACACTCACATAAGTTAACGACTTGATATATACATATTTTCCATCACGTAAGTTCACACATCCATTCAGAGGTCCCTATACAATTGTTGCGACATATTCTACAAATACAGCAAAAATTATGGACCCTGAAACTGGACAGAAATTTCGTCATGTTGTTCATTAAGACCGCCTAAAACTGGCATTCATTAAACCCACTTGCGATGACAACCAGGTTTATGATAGTCATAAAGCTGAACATACTGACTTAAGTTAACAAAACAAAACCAAACAAAACAAAACAGACGAATAGCCAAGATTCACAGGACATCAGCCTAGAATCGTCGCAATTGTCTGCTTCTAGTGACGAATCTGAGTATATAGTCGAAAAAATAATAACATGTCGTTGGAATAAAGGAGTTAGGGAATGTCTTTGTAAGTGACAAGGATATCCCACTAATCGTATACCGATCTCAACTACGCGGCACATCAATTCGTAGATACGAACACTATCCCCACTATTCCCGTAGGGAACAATTCACGACCTAAAAGTAATTTTATAAGATCTATACTGAAAGAGAATAACATGCCGCTGTTTAACGCTGATCTATTTTTATATAATAATAATTGTTTTTCTTTGTTGTTAATCCATGTTTATTCAGTAGTACACATGTTTTATAGTGATAGCCGTTTTTCCCACGATTTTTATCATACAGGTGACGTAGGTCTTCAAAATAACGATTTGAATTTGTCTCATCGCCACCCTTCTATTGACCCATAGTCACACAGCGGAGTCTAAATTTTAACACCCCATACATACTTTGTTAACGCATTGCACCGATTTTGTCATGTGGGTAGTATAACCGAAAAACACGTATTCACCTTATTTTGACATCAACACTCTATAACGTATCGTGATAAAAGAGGTCCAAAGACAATACGATATTCCTTAGTCCTATATCTATTGTTATAATTTCACGCATCTATACATATAGGAGTAAAAGATACATTGCAAAAATTACGAATTGGGCATCATCACGTGATTCCTTGCAGAAGACGCAAAATATGCATATGGTCGGTCGGTGATTGGTCCCTTTGAACAAATATGCTACGCCCTATTGGCTAAGCCAGCATTTCCTCGACCAATGATCACCGTCCCGTTTATAGCTCCGTGCATATTTAAATGTGTGAGTGACTGTAATAGAAACGCTGGAGATTCAACATGTTTGAATATTGCAATGTGCAACCCATATTAGAAATGAGAAATAACATAATTTTCCTCAGAAAGTTTGGATGATACGCATAACATTGGTCTAGGTTTACGATTCTCGCTTAAGCATATTCGCTGCTGAACATTCGGCTAATTTGAATATTGCAATCTCACAACCCATTGCATAAATAAGAAATCACATAAAAAATTACACGAGTTTGGATTAGGTTTTTCTGGTTGAAATATTCAAATTTGAAAGACAAAAAACATGATTTGTGTCGATATAAAAACAACTTTTAGCCTGGTTGCCAGTGGACCATATTTTTTAATACATTGATACAAGTTTATTGTTAGCTAGATATAACGTTCCAAAGATTGTCACAGAGTTTTATACTGGGGAAATGATGCTCTATATTGGGAAAGTTCGAATGGTTAGAAAATTCTTGCTCTATATGGATTTTTAGCACAGAGAGGTATCCAAATCATGCATACTTACAGCATCACATGCAATGGTCCCCAATGTCATGTTAATTGTCTGTATTAGATGTGTCAGAGTCATTCTCTTTACTATTACCCCGGTACATGACAAGTGTTTAGATGTATATGCATTAACACATGTACTCGGGTTTCTCTTTCTCATGAAATTCCAATAAAAATAGTCATTCAAGACAATGAAATGTAAGACATCTTGTAGTTTATTTCTATCCCTTATATGGTAACAGCTTAACATAAATCTATATCCCAATAAATCAATACGAAATGACAACATTTATACAATTTTCAATACCCCCCCCCTCATATTTTGATCTAAAAACAAGTCAATAGCTGATCAGAAACTAACCAAGTCATTGTTTACTTGGCTAAAATCATAGAACAATCCAATTTTCTATTTGTTTTAACTTGATAAAAGTATGCCCTCAACGGCAAACATGACTGCAGCTGTGTTTAAGAAAATATTGAGGTCTGTGGTTTAAATACAGAAAATAGAACTTAGGCACAAATGATCATGGGATCTCGCGAGAGTAGGATAGTAAGATTTTGTTCCTCGCATATTATGTAACAGTTATAACATTGTTGTTAGGAGACAGTCATATAAAGAATATTTAAAAAAAAATCTTGTTTATTGGGGCAGAGGGGCGGGGCTAACAATAATGTATATCTAGTATAAAATCATATGCAAGCTGCTTGTTGGACGTACAGGTAATAATTAGTCTATTGCAGCAAAGAGACCAAACAAAATAATCATGCTAAAAAGTAAGTACAATATTTTGCATATTACTATTATTCACTTTTACAATCTGTTGACATGTACAGATTACCCTGTTAATATGGTAAGAACACAAAGGAGACTCTTGTGTAAATACAATTTACAACATAAAGTGGCATGATTTAATTAAGCATTTACATGGTGGCCTTTAAAAAGCAGTTGGTTGGTTATCACAACTACCGGTATGCATGTTTGAGTACCATACTACATCAACATATACGCATGTGAGACAAATGCATCGTATACTAGTATTACATAAAACTGTGAATACATACATGGCTGTGATGAACATGGCACTTTAAATATTATTATTGTGCATTTTATTATGCAAGTCACACCAAAGGCACATAAAACCTCTATGATTGATAACATAGAACTATTTTTTCAAACATTGATTTGTTCCAGAGACTCATTCTAAGCGATTTAAATTAACTAAAAGCCAACTAATGTGACCATCCCTTATGTAATTCAATAAGACCAAATACATTGGCAAAAGAGATAGTATCAAAGTAGAGTTACATACAATGTGTGTGCATCCTCTATACTTTTTATTTATCAGGTTCTTGAATTTGTTTGGTATACAATGATACAGTATAATTAACAAGCATTGTAGACCTTCACCAATCATCAAATCACGATGCATTTTGTATACATTAAGGTACCACAATAAAAATACATTTATTTAAGTTTGTATATTCAGCTTCTACTTTTGTTTAAAGTTTCTATTTCTACTATTTCAACTGAGAAATTTTACGCATTTACATGTGGGCCAGAGGCCTTTAAAATGAACTATTAGTATACACTGTTGTGTGCAAAATTCTAATTGTAATCACATTACAACTCACTAACAATATACTGCATAGGTCTTTGTCATTAAACATGAATTATTGCGATTCAATATAATAAAATAAAAAATAAGGATTAAAACACTGCAGTAAGTTATGGAGATATGTTTATCACAATTGTGTGAAACCAATATATTTGAGTAAATACAGGTATTGCAGATTGATCTAAAAAAATCATTAAACTGTTCATAATACACAGAATTGATAGATATTTACATACTGAAATTAAACAATTTGCAAGTAGGATACCTCGGTAGATTAATCTAAATGTAAATTACTGTTAATGTAATTTTTTAAAAATGGTTGTGTTAGGAGGGTGCATTAACTTTACTACATTTTGAAAAACAATACAACAATGAATATATTTGTGTTCATTATTAATAAAATGATAAGTAAATAATGAGAAAAATTGGGTCATTAAATATCTAAGGGCTCACAGTTGGAAGTAAATGAGGTGGGCAGGATAGTCAGCTGTTATTTAACATCTGAATTTAAGTTTACGAGTTAATTAAAATGTGTCACGAAAATAAATATAGCACAATAATGAAAAGAAAGAAAACATAACATTCAGAATACAAGAAATGACCCCATCCCCTTGATTTCAAATGTTTCAAGAGAAAATATTGCTCACAGTTAATGACAAGACTTTGTTGTCTGATTGAATGAGCAAAATTTGCTCACTGAAAACATGATCACAACTTATCCAATCTGGCTTAGCAAGGTACATTGAGATATTTCCACAAATATTTTTAAACAATATAATAGTATATTATAATATAAATTCTTGCATACATTCATAATGCAATAATAGTCACTCAAACTAAAACTTTTTTACCCCTGAAAAACACTGAATGACACTAGGCAAAAAAAAATCAATACAATGTTTCATATAAATAAATCAGCCTCTGGTTTTCTATACATGTAATGATAACTGTAAGACGTATATATTTTTATGACTCAAATTTCAGGTCACTGATCCCCAGTGAAATTTTCAATGCTACACATTTTTTTCTCCTGACTTTAGATAAAAAAGATTTACAGTAGTATAGGAACAATGAAAATTCCATCAAAGATGTGTATGCCGGTAAATTATTGCATAATAATTGATAACACTAAAAATTAGACTGCTAAAATAAACGATAAGTAAAGAAATTGTTGATGGACACTTGTCTGGAGAGGGGGTGTTGCATTGATGATGTAAATTGGGGCAGTGTTCAATATATGATTTTGTAATTTCATATCATGCTAAATCAGTGCACTTTATGATTCACATCTCATATGAATTTAATAAATAGATCTTCAGAGTATGGAAGGATAAACACTGATCTGGAATTATAGTTGACAAACTTGGCTCGGATGCTTGTAATAATGGACATTTAAAACATAAGATTGATTATCTACTCAATAGAAATATCCTTCTATGAAAAGCATAAACCAGTTAAGGATGATTAGTCAAAAGCATATACGATCCATCAATCCAATAAACTCCACAACTACACAGTCGCTCTCCGGGCACAGTTAGAGGGCAGCTTGTAGAATACTTGTATGATCAACCAATCCAATGACTCAACAACCACACAGTTACCCTTTGAAGCCCAATGGACAGCTTCTAGAATACGTATATGCTCCACCAATCCAATGAATTTCCCATATACACAGCCACTCTCCGGGATACAAAAGACAGTTGCTCATAGGGTAACATATGCTGAACCAATCATATGACTTCTACTACTACAGTCAGTCGCCTGGACACACAGGACAGTTTGTAGGGTACATGTATTATCCACTAGTTCAATAACTTTCACAGCTATACAGCAACTCTCCTGCAGCTTGTCGGATACATGCATGATCCATGAATCACATGACTTCCACAACCACACAGTCACTTTTCTGGACACAGTTAGACGACAGCTTGTAGGGTACATGTATGATCCACCAGTCCAATGACCTCCACAACTACACACGTGAAGTCTGGCTCATCACAGAATGGAGGATTGTTAAATGTATGGCTATGAAATGTCATGCCCTTCTCTAAACCATTGTAAATATATATTGCATCATTTCCACTAAAAATAAATAGAAAAATATTCATCAAAAAATAGTTGTTTTACACTACAAATCTTGGTGTACATATAAATGATAGTTTGTAATAACCACAACAATTACCACCATAGATAATGCATTTCATCAAAGGCAATATTGTCACGGTACATAGAATTCCACAGTTAATGTACAGCAAGCAGTAATCTGTTTAAATGCTTTATTTCGCTACTGCTTTTCTACTCATCAGATTAAAGATTAGGAGGAATTCTTCATACACATCATTTCATAACAACAGAATTGGGACCTCACATATTAGACACATACTCATGCCCCTAGTTGCCACAAGCAGAAGGCTTAGCATTATTAGTTAAATTTTGTGTAGTATGACTGTTATGTTTATAGAGTTGACCAGTTGAACTCACCCTCCTCCAATTGCAATGGCATCACTCTCAACGCGCATAAAGAATGATGAATTTGTAGAAATGTTGTCACCATGGCAACCAACCCAGCTATATTTTTTCTCGATAGGAACCATTGAGAAAACAAAGCATTCACCAGTACCGAAGTATGTACTTTCTCTCTCTATATTCAGCCTTTCACTCCAACTTGTTGATAAATAGCAACCAAATATCTACAAAAAAAAAAGTATCGTAAATAGTTCTAACCATATGTACTATGTGATGAATCTGCAAATGTTTAGTGTTGGTTCTGTTAACAATGTATCAAGCTACTAATATTGTTTATTGGCATACATGTAGTATAGTCCTGTCCAAATCACTGATAACTTACATGGTTAGTAGTTGTCTTTATGAGTAGAATAGTTGGTTGAAAATCTTCACATTTATTAAACATAGCATGTAAGCTGCTTCCATGCTCCTCTGTTGTAAACAGTAACTGTGGTTGATGCACAGACATTCGATGAGGGAGCCACTGCCAGATCTTTTGCAACTGTGTAGGAAAACAAAATATTTAGTGGTTAAGATTTTCTTAATCAGACTGTAATATCAGAAATGTCCTTTCCTTATTCGCATGTTTTTTATTTCATTGAACAGTTTTATATTTTTAAACCACATGAATTTTGTTTCCTAACTGCAACATCTTTAGTGTCATGTTCTTGTGTTATGTTGGCATAAGAAACATTAAGCTCAACCTAAATACATATGCTTCATTACTAAAATAGTGATAACTTGACATGAAAATGTCCTTCAATCAATATTTGTCAACCCCACACAAAATAAAACAACACGATTGTTGTCTTTGTCTTTGAACTCATATGTTTCGCACTCAACATACAATATTCAACTAAAGACTTACTTGTGTATGGTTAATTATTGTTGAATTTATAGGAGATACATGTAGAGGTGTCACCATGTCTATACTGACATGTTTACGAGAACTACTACTCTCCCTCAAGGCAGATTCATGACGATGCTGATATTTATTGATTGTTGACCTTGACAGTCCCTTGATGTTGAAGGAAATCTGTAAAATATTTGTTGACAATTTAAATGTAGACATGAATAATTTGTGTGTTAATAATAAAATGAAATTACAATAACTAGAACATTGTGATGCAAAAATTTAACATATAATCATTAAAATATTATTATACCTTGAGAAGTTTTGCAGGAGATACTGGTATATTGGAAACAAAATTGTTTATAGAAAGTGTGTGCGGCTGTGAATTACTAGCCTGAATACCTGAAAAAAAAAAAAAAAATTTGTATTATTATTACACCCAAGTATATAATACGCATGGGTATGAGATACGTCATTCAAGTATACAATATCATGCGCATGTAATATTTTTGCTTCCTCTCCAAACCTAAAAAGTGATTCACCATTCGGGTTTGGACAGGGTGAACATATATTAACATTTGTAAGATTTATAAGACTTCAACAAAGTGTAGATACATTAACATTGCATGAAATTCCGTAAGGCAATACAATCTGTATGGAATCTAACATATGGTGGTTGGATAGGATTGGGGTTAGACAAGACTGACATACATGACCATCACATGTTATACATGTTATTCCAGTTATACATTGATATGGAATGTGCCATAGAGGTTTGGGTAGGATGCACTTGCATAAAAACTGGAAGAAATTCAAGCATACCATACCATGCATAGAAGTTTGGAAAGGGTGCACATACACCAACATTGCACTAGTATGTCAATCCAGTAAGTAGGCAATACATGTACCATCTTTAAGGAATCTACTACGGGGGTTTGTTTGGACAAGATTCCAGTATGCAATATGCTCATTAGTTTTATGAATACTGCATGAGCATTGCATTCCATACTTTACTATTCATATGGAATCCATCACATTGGTTAAATTGCACATGATACCCTTACATGAGCCTTGAGTATGTCATTCCTGTATGCGATATCATTCATATGGAATCCATTTTTAACAGTTTGGATTGACAGCACATACATGAACATTGCTTTGCTTTATGATCCATAAAGCATTCATGTATAATTGTAGTATATGAAATTAAAAAAATAGAATTGGTAGAATGCTTGTAACTTGTAATTCATCATTCCAGTGTGCAATATCAGATTTGGGCATGGTGTATACCTTGTACGTGTTTCTTGTAAAGTATGAGAATTGCTAATCCAACCCTGTACAATATCTTGATACCTTCCACAAGGTAACAGTCCATTACTCTGACCTGTATGATTAAAACAGAATTACTTATTATACATAAAAATATGTTATATACATAATGGTCTGAAAAATACAGTAAAGTATTTTTGCATTCAAAACATGAATCCACTTTATTAAGATCACAAATTTATGGCTTTTGTGTTGCATCTTTATTGCTATGGCATCACCACAGTTGGATGATGCATTTATTGTCCTTTCATCACATTGCGTTGCATCACATCACATGTATTTAACTGCCGCATGAGAATCATATATGGTTTCTTATATCATCTAGTTTCTTTTGGGTTGGGACAAGTAATTTTGCAATTTATTTTTTAATGATTCAATAAAAAATACCATTATACCATTCACTGATGGTAAGTGGTGCAAGACTAGAGCAAAAAACTGTCTTTAAGTTTGAAGGGACACTATTCTCTCAGATATTGGTGATGATTTTAATATTCTCAGCAGTTAATAGTGAGAATCCAAATTCTCATTGCTTCATTGGTGAGAATAGAAATTCTGACCAATTTGTTGCTGAGAATCTAAATTATCACCAATTTGTTGTTGAGAACTAAATTATCACCAATTTGTTGCTGAGAATCTAAATTATCACTAATTTATTGGCAAAACTAATTTAAATTCTCACCATTTGTTTAACAAATTGTTGACAATTAAATTGGATTTTTGCCAATGAGATGTTGAGAATTTTAAATCTTGCCAACAAACTGGTGAGAATTTATATTCTCAACAATGGAACGATAAAAATTGGATTCTCACCATTAAACAGTTGAAATATAAATATTGAAGACGCAAAAAAGTGTCAGAAGCTCCCACCTTTCACCAATAGTGATGACAAATTGAGCTAGTGTTACACACTAAAATGAGTGATGATAAAATATGATGCAAGTGCGATAAATATGTGAATCTGCATATCTCTTTGTTGCATTCTAATACATATTTGTATACCTATACAAAACATATGCCAGACTATAGCGCAGTGGATACATTTATTACAATTATGGTAGCAGATGTTGTCTAGTCTGTGTTAGTTTTGACTATATAATGTTTTCAATAAATCAGATACTTGGCTGTAAAAATATGAAATGATGATATATTGTATTTTCAGTTCAGGTTCGGCTGATAAATAACCATGATTGTAGATAGATTTCAAAATTAAATTGGTTTTGCTTCCCATGTAATAAGATCACAAATGTTACACACTGCAATTACCCAGTTTGCAGACTTACATCGTAGAGTAGATGTAGTCATATTTGTTTCCATTTCATTTCACTTTCAGTATTCATACATTATTCATTCTTCCATATCAACTAACAATTATGTAAATTAGCACAGGAGTTTGATGACCAAACTGGTTATATAGCTCAATTTTCATGTAGTACGGTAATTTTCAAATTTAAATTCAAACAGCATAAACTGTGATATTGGTTGGGCAAGCAGACAAACACATACTCAGCGTGCAAATTTATTTAGTGTCTGCGTATTCAGAATAAGCACATGAGCTAAAAATAATCCAACACCAATTTAAAGTCAGATCACCCTAAGTAGAAGTAAGGTCAGAATGTGAAGTCTAGGCCAATAAATTGTTACTGTAGTTAATGTTTAGAACGTGATTTAATTCAGAATAGCACTATACACCATTTTACTCTATTAGTAAGCGCATTAACTTGCGTTAAACCACAGAGATTTTTCTATGGTCAAAATAAGTAATATTTTAATGATTTAGTATGCAGTCAAAGTTGGTTTATATGTGCTTCTACTGGAGATGTGCTTCTAATAGAGAAAATATGGAATACAAAATGCTTCTACCAATCACCAAGATACATGTACTAATAAATCATTTTGCTATTCACAACTCGCCAAATTTCATCCGTTCAGGTATATGCGATGGAGCAAGTAGGAAAATTCAGGGATGTACTAGTTGGTTAAATTTAATTATGTACACAATTATCAGTGTCAATGTCAATTACCTAAACTTACCTAACATCAAAATTCACATTTATACAAACCGGTAGTTAGGTAATTTTATTGCACGGTCATTGATCATTGCTGACAAAAATATGCAGATTTTGATTTGAATTTCAATTATTTATTATAAAATGTTAATACTGAGTGTGAGTTTGTCAGTATATTCTTCTCACCTTAATATATGCACATATATGTGAAACAAATTTTCCAACTCACTGCAAGCTAATCAGTCTAATCACCTTATATACAAGTCCCACAATAATAGCAATTCAAAAGGCAGTGATTAGTTTTCACTGGAGCAATCAAAGCACATTTAATACTGTGCAATTCAATGGAGCTGAATACTGTCATCATGTACATGCTTTATTTTGACCAATCTTGTGTCAATAATATTATTTATTACTGAACTTATAAGTATAGCAATTATCAGTTAGGTTGGGTCAGTGGAAAATTGACTAGGATTGTCAATTTTAGACTGTTGCATTAATGTCAAACTCACCCGAATCAATCATAAATGCAATTGATAGCCAAACTGTGATTATTTAATTTCAAAGTATATTCAAATATATGTAGCAATTGACCAGTTTTGACTAAAATGCAAAATAAAATGAGAGCAGTAATTCAAAATGTGGGATTGAATTGGAACCAGGTAAGGAATGCAGGGGCAATTATGACAAAACAGAAATCAAGTTTCAAATAAAAATCAAAGAAAGCTTGGAAAGAGCTCCTGTGTGCTGAGAGTATTGAAAACACATTAAAAATTAATTCAAAATTACTTGTACATGAGAAAGCTGAAAACTAATTCTGTAA